ATTGCAGAGATTAGAGAGGTTTTTGATGAGAGAAGCAACTTAGACCCTTGGGAGGGATCTCGGTGGAGATGGTTGTTGGTGTTGCCTCTTCCCAGTGCAGCAGTCCTTGCACTCATAGACCTGGATGGTTCTAGAACAGCCTTATAGAAAAGGATATTTATATCCTCCCTTGGGTCTTTTTTCTTGGCCAGGAAAACTGGGAACCATGAATGTACTAACACAAACCTGTAGGTTTTGGGGCCCATGGAGGGTTCTAGAAGGAAAAAAAATGTGAGTAGCAAAAGCAGACTTGGTGGTCTACAGTTTCACTTAAAAAGCAATAATGTAACACTAAAGTAAGTTTCATAATTTTATTTGGGAATTTAAATCTGTATCTGTTCATGTGAACTGTTTAAGATATACTGACATGAAAGGAAAAAAAAAAACACAGGTGACTCTTGCAGGTCTGCACAAATAGCCCAGTACTGGTCGCGCATGTGAGCTCTGTTTCATTTCTTTCTGGTTTGCACTACTACTTATTTTGAAGAGAAGATTGGAGAAGAGGGGAAACAAAGTTAAGACAACAGCGGAGTATAAATAATTTGACTGTGTGAATCAAAAGCCATAAAAATGCCCATATTCTAATTTTTTTAATGTCTATTTATTTTTAAGAGAGAGAGACAGAGTGCTAGCAGGGGAGGGGCAGAGAGAGAGAGAGAGAGAGAGGAAGAGAGAGAGAAGCAGGCTCCAGGCTTCAAGTCAGTCAGCCCAGAGCCTGATGCGGGGCTTGAACTCACGAACCGTGAGATCATAACCTGAGTCAAAGTTGTATGCCCAACCGACTGAGCCACCCAGGAGCCCCAAAATGCCCATTTTCTAATATAAAAAGTCAACTTGGGGATTAACTAACCTAAGAAGTTAATTTAGAATATGAAAAAAGCCAAATATACATTATTCATTGCTATGTCATTGGTAGGAGTAAAAATTTGGAAGCAATCTTGATGCCCTATAATAAGGATAAATTATTAAATTTCTATTCAACAAAACATTGTGTACTTTTAAAAATAGTGATTGTGACGATTATGTGGCAACATAGAAAATACTTAAAATGTCATCCCTCAAGGGAAAAGAGCTGAAAATTACACTACCCAAATGAAAAAGATGGAAAGGAATACATCAAATGATAACAGCTGTGTTTGGGTAATGGCATGATGGTAGTTTTTTCTTTTGCGCTCATGATTATTTTAATCAGTTTTCCAATTTTATAAATTGGAAAACCAATTAAAAATACCCAAATTAAAAAGCCAATATTTAAAGCCAGAAAGAATGAAACGTGGTTACTTTAATGTTGACTGTTCCGCACAGAGCTTCATGAGGGATTTCACAGGGGACGAAATTGCAAACAGTTATTGCGATTTGTGGGGGGTGTGCATTTATTCCGAGTTGTTACGGTGGTTGGAAAGACAGTGGAATAATAGCAAGAGAAACTAGACCCTCCCACCCCCAGCTGCCAGTAATTCAATCTAGGGCTTCAAGAACCAATTTCTGCCCGTTCAAAATGCGGCTCATCCCTGGAGACTACCTCCTGCAGGCCATTGTGATAGTGATGGCGGGGATGTGGGCTGGCCTCTGCAACAGCTCCCAGAGGGTCAGGCGTTTGATGGAGGGCCTGGGCAGCTGTCTGGGCTTGGGGTTGCTGGTCATCAGAGACAAGGCAGCCTGTGCAATGTTGACCTGGAGGTGAACAGTCCTCTTTCTTATACCCACTCCCTGGAGGCAACAGTCCCTCATTAGGGTACAGTTTCTAATCCAAACAGCCATTAATCTTTCTCAGGGTTAAAAGGCCAGAAAAGCAAGTTTTGCTCTCTATTTTGGTACTGTACTTGTCTGTCTTTTGCAAGAGCAGACTTACTTCACTGACCACTGGAAAACACCCCACAGCTGTGTCCACAGCTATGCAAAAATGCTGAGCCCAGCATGGACCTGGTGCACAGAGAAGGGATACAAGTGCAAACCGAATAGTCTGTTTATTGTGACCCTTGACAAAAAGGATAAACATGACGTACTTGAAACAAATTAGTATTCTGTAGCATAGGGAAGCGCATAGATTTTAAGTGAAAATTCCACCATATATGATAGTTGACTGAAAGTGATATTATACAAACTTTTGAATAATATTCTTTTAATTTTTCTTGCCTTAGCAAGTAAATGAATCCAAATAAATAGAGCTATAACCCCTAACAACTTTTGGTCTTTTAAAGGTAATCAATAACAAAATAGGATTTGAATTAGAAAGATGCACTTAATTGTTGTCTCAGAAACATAAGAGTGTTTGGTTTACAGAAATGGGCTGACTTTCTTATCTCAGACTCTTTTAATAGCCAGTAAGTCAAGAAACACATCTTTTCCATATTCTCAAAGTGTAAGGACCAGCACGATGGGTATAAAGATAAAAAACATGAAGCCTTCCTCAATCTGTTTCTTCATGCTTGACCTTTAAATCCTTCCTCTACAGAGTGATCATCACTGTGAATACCAAACACTTCTGGTGAGTCACATTTAGACATCTGGCTACTGATAGTAAAGGCAGCGAACGTTTAAGAGATAGAGAATTCATTTTTATGTCTCACACTATTTTACATTAAATTTCCCAAACTCAAAATTTCACATTAAGGATTAGGTAATACATAAAATCTAGTCATAGCATATTCAAGCTGGAAGAGGCCTAGGTTGAATAAAGTAAAACTCAAGACAGACCAAGGGACTGGAGTGGAACCTAGGGCCTTTGACCCCTAGCCTAATGCTGTTCTAATGATACCACATCACTTTGTAGAATGTAAGAATTCTAGAACTTACCTGGACTTTTTTTTTGGGGGGGGGTGGGTTGGTGGGGAGACACATATATGTTTTTTCTCTGCCAAATGTATTTTGAGACATTAACAACTTTTACTAAAGTTTCCTGAAGGATCTCAGATTGGCAGAGAATTTAGCTGTATTCTGCCTCGTTCACACAGCTTCTTCTTTCAGAATCCATGATACTCTTGAAATGGAGGGAATTTTAGATAGATGTGGTCTGCAAGGTATAACAAATTCTGTTGGCACTGTCCTATGCTTGCCTTTAGAGCACTTGATATAAATAATTTGAATGTCCTATAGGAATTAAAACTATATCTTAATGATGCCATTTCTAAGTCAAAAATATATGCACACATATAATATATATAATAAAAAACATCTACCAAATTTTTAACAGTGGCTATCTTTTGGATGGTTCAATATTAACAAATATTTTCTTTTGTGTTTACCAGTTTGGGTACCAAATGTATTTTATGTTTATAATTAGAGAAAACTCTAGAAACATTATTATTTTTTTTTTTAATTTTTTTTTTTCAACGTTTATTTATTTTTGGGACAGAGAGAGACAGAGCGTGAACAGGGGAGGGGCAGAGAGAGAGAGGGAGACACAGAATTGGAAACAGGCTCCAGGCTCCGAGCCATCAGCCCAGAGCCCGACGCGGGGCTCGAACCCACGGACCGCGAGATCGTGACCTGGCTGAAGTTGGACGCTCAACCGACTGTGCCACCCAGGCGCCCCTAGAAACATTATTTCAATGTTATTTAAAAGATCTCAAGGACATAAAGACTTTTATACAGATAAAGTGGGCCTGGTCAGGCTGAATGGCACAGTAATGCACTTCTTTTCCATTTTTAAAAATCCTGATGTAATTATATATAGCATTACTTATTTGATTAAAACTTTAATTCAGCTTAAAACACAAATATATCCACAAGGGCACTGAGATCCAGACTGCCAAAGACTTGAGCAGGCAAAAAACATCAGTGTGGTTACCTTTGTGAGGCGAAATGAGCCGTAGAAGTTTCTGTAGGCTGGGATTGACAGAGAGGCAAATGATCATGCTACTTAGATTCTACTGGCAAGGCTGAAGTCTATTAACTACAACACTACTTGCTTTTGAATTAATTTATTCTGAGCACCAAAAACATTTTTCCAAAGAGGGAATTACCATGTAGGGTGTTAGTGTTTTTCTCCAAAGAACAATTTGTTTATTTACCACAGGATCAGTCTCTCATATTTTACCTCTTTGGATCTGCTTTAATCTTTAAGTATTAGTTACTAGTATTTTCATAAATTAAGATGAATCTGACCTAAAACAATAAAATGATATTTCTCTCTTTTCTCTGGTCCTTTTAAAATGAGAAAATATGTGCTTATAACAAATCCAAACAATACAGATGTTTATAAAATAAAAAGGGGAAGTATAAAATATAGGGTGAATATTTTCTCTTAATTTTCTGTACCCCAAATTCTATTTCTCTAGTGATAACTTTTGTTATTTTGATGTGTATCATTCTTCTTCCTATATATAGACAAATACTTATGTATAATTAAAAGTAAAAATCAGACCATGCAAACATTTAATTGTTCTGCTTTTTTCCAACTTAGCAGTATATCATGGGCATATTTCCAATATGTTTATCTCATTCTTATTGATAGCACTATAATATTCCATTACTTAATATACTCTGATTTATTTATCTGTATACTATTAATGAATATTTAGGTTCTTTCAGATTTTTTATTAGAGTGCTGCCAGAAACATCCTTGCCATCTTCCTTAACACACTTGTGCTCATATTTCTATAGGCTCAATTTCTAGACTAGGGATTACTGGGCACGGGATATGTGCATTTATGTTTTTGATAGATACTGAGCTTTTGCCCATTTTATAAATAGAGCAGTTGAAATCCATGTGGTTTGGGGCAGGAACATGAATGCTGATGTCTAGCCCAAGGTCCAACATAGTGGGCATTCTTCCACTGTTTACAGAAGTAGTTTGACTTTGAGCATTAGGGAATCTTCTGCAGGATAAACTTATTATCACATTCAGATTGGTAACAGGTATGTCATGTGTGGAAATAAAAAGACAAAGTTCTGGCTAGCTTGGCTTCTGTTGTCAGGACTGTGATGGCCAGTGGTAATTCTTTCAGTGAGAATGAAAATTAATACAGTTTCATTGAAGCTTCAAACAGAGCAGACAGGTCCTCTTCTGATTGAGGGCGTGGTGCAAGCTTGGTGACCCTTTCCTGAAACAGTAAATAAAAGCAGTTACCCAGGGCTTTGAAAAGACAGTTTGTAAAAGGTACTAGGTTATGTAAATTAACTTGGCCATAAGAAACAATGACTTGATAATAGTTATATCTTTGAAATCATATTTTGGGGCACCTGGGTGGCTTAGTCAGCGAAGCATCTGACCCTTGGTTTTGGCTCAGGTCGTGATCTCACGGTTTCATGGTTCAAGCCCTGCATCAGGCTCCACACTGACAGTGTGGAGTCTGCTTGGGATTCTCTCTCAATCTCTCTCTCTCTCTCTCTCTCTCTCTCCCCCCTCCCTCCTTCCCTCCCTCTCTCCCTCCTCCTTCTCTCTCTACCCCTCTCCCACTCACACTGTCTCTGTTTCTCTCAAAAGAAATAAACTTAAAAAAATCCTATTTCTTGTTTGCCCTATTCTAACTGATCCCCAAGTCAGAAGTTTATCGAATGACACCTCTCCCACAAAGCCTTCAAAAGCCATTATGCTTACGTTCTGGCAATAGCCTGCCCAAAGTATAGAACCAAATCAACCTTGGGTAGAACACCGCCTATAATGACCAAACTGCATTGGTCAGCAGCCTATGCCAGGTAGGTCGTCTGGGCAGAGAGCACTGTCCCAGGCATAGCATGTGCTGCCAAGGAAAATAGAACTGGGTTGTCCTTGACTTCAAAGACTGTATACTTTGCAACTTGGACTTAACGTATATTTAAAAAAGATTTCATTAGGATTTAACTCTCAGGCTACAGGCAACAAGTGACTCCTTTTTTTCCTTTTTAACGTTTATTTATTTTTGAGACAGAGAGAGACAGAGCATGAACGGGGGAGGGGCAGAGAGAGAGGGAGACACAGAATCGGAAGCAGGCTCCAGACTCTGAGCCATCAGCCCAGAGCCCGACGCGGGGCTCGAACTCACGGACCACGCGATCGTGACCTGAGCCGAAGTCGGACGCTCAACCGACTGAGCCACCGAGGCGCCCCAAGTGACTCCTTTTTAATATTAACTAAGGTTTTCTGCCTTCCCAAATGAATTCAGCGACTTGCTTAATTTCTCCAATGTTATTGAATGGAGTTAGCAAAGACAGCCAGCACATCCTATTGCTATATATACCCCCATCAGTGTCTTCTTAATCCCAATGGGACAGAGGATTAAAAGATACTATAATGACCACCCTGTGTCCAAATTTCTGGGCCTAAATGAAATTAAGGTATAGGGATTGAGTGTCCAACTCCTGATTTTGGCTCAGGTCATGATCCCAAGGTCATGGGATCGAACCCATGCCAGGCTCTGCATTGAGGGTGGAGCCTGTTTGAGATTCTCTCTCCCTCTCCCCCTCTCCCCTGTGCTCTCTATCTCTCTAAAA